AAGTCAATGAAAAAAATATCCTTGGGTAAGGATTAACAAAAACAAAACAAAATTTAAAAAGCTTGAAAATTTTCAAAAAGGTTAGGTATTTATAAACTTTTAAATGATTCCAGGCCAAAAAAGGGGGGGGGGGAGTGGGATTGATGGTGATCAAAGACTGTCATATATTTTAATTTTGAAAATTGTTCAGAGAACAGTTGCCTTATAGGCTGTGCGTGCAGACGCGCGCTGAGCAGTTATCTAAGCCTTGGCACCCTCTAGGGACTGTGAGCTGAGCTGATGACGTGACTTAATAAAAAGATGACTGGTTCCCAGTGAGAAAGTTCGGGCGTGACCCTCGAGGCCTGACGTTCCCGCACTGGCTGGCTTCGCTCTGAAAACACTCCAGTCAGCCTTGCCATCAGCTGTTGGCAGGAGAGGTAACAACCTCCTAGAACACAACTCCGGCAGGGAGGGAGTGTGATGGGCACGAGGCTAAGCATAGGAACGGCTGTGTAACTAGTGTGTGCATATGCGCAGTGGCATTTTATATACAAATGTACCTGTGCTCACACTTACATGTGACTGTTGATGTTTGTCCACACCTATGGGTGCATGGGTGTGTGTGTACAGCTGTGTATGTGTATGTACTTTGGGTGGAAGCTGTAAACTGAAAGCCTAGAATATGACATTCAATGGTTCAATCCTTGTCCCCTTTTGCTATGGAGAGGTATCAGTTTTATCATTCAACTGTGCAGTGTGGTCAAGGACACTACACGCCTGCAGCACAGGGCCAAGCTGACTCCTGTGAGCAAAGCTCTGGGGCTTCCTTAAGATCAGTGCTAGGGGAGCTAGGGGAACTGCCACCTGCTGGAGGGGACTCATCCACACGCATCTAGTAGCACCCTAGCCAGTGTCTGCATCCTGCAGAGGTATGCGGTGGGGGCTGAGCAGCCAGAGGCTCTCAGGAGGCCAGAACCACACAGAGCAAGCAGCACCTGGCTCCACATGTGTTCCTGTGGATGTGCTGCTCTCAGAGACAGAGCGACTGAGGGACAGATAACAGACAGAAGGACAGTTAGATGTAAACACCCAGGCTTGTCTCAATACAACCTGGGCTCTTTTGTTCTTCTAGAACTGGTTCCTCCCACCACTCCCCTCCTCCCTCTTCGTGCTCTCCCCTCTAACATCCCAGCACACAGCAGGGATGGGAAACATACTTAATGCGCGCGCTGTGGTGAGGAGCTGTGAGGATCTGGAAGTTCAAGACCACACCTCTATGAGAAGACGTCTGCTACTCAGCAGGGTGGCTTCTGTGTTTTCATTTTTAAAGTATGTTCAGGATGGGTTAGGACCGATGCTGGATACTGTCGAGTGACACCAAACCATCTTTCCCGCCTCTGCTCCCGCTGCTGCTGCTGAAATGCCCTCAAGTCCCCCCAGGCCTGATGAACTCCTACTCATCCCGGGTCAGCTCAGATTCGACCTCCTCTCTTTGGCTTTTTCCCACCCTCCCCAAGCCCCGCTGTATTAACTGCTCCCTCAAGCACACTGTGCATACCTCTGCTAGGAGTTTATCACTGGGATTTTAGCTGTTGGCCTAAACGTTCCCCCAGGGCAGTCCTGGTTCCTGCCCTCATCACCTAGAAGCCACCAGAAGGGCTCCTTTGTCCCACAGCCCAGGAAGGGCAGGTGGTGGCTGCTCCTACCTGTATAGGAAAGGCGCGACCGTCGCAGTGTTGGGGTGGCTGTATTGCTGCTGGGGCTGAGGTAGCTGAACACTGACGGTGTTGCTTCCTGTGGTCTGGGTGGTCCCGACGGACCCGCTGACAGTCTGGCTGCTGATGCTGTGGTTCAGGGTGGTCCCTCCTGGGCCTTTTCCTTCCGAGGACGCCAGGCTGGAGGAGGAACTGGAGTGTCTGCCGTCCAGCTGGGGCTTCTGCTGGGGGAGCCCTGAGCTCGGCTTCCCACCCCGGCTCCGCTCCCCCTCCTTGGAGGGGGCAGGGGCACTTGGGGACTTCCCGGGCATGCTCTTCATCCCTGGTTTTGGAATTCCACTGAGGGAGGGGGCAGGGGTCTCCTTCTTGGCACTGCTGAGCTTGCCCCCTTTGGGGATGAAGCTGGCAATCTTGGAGGACTTTTTTGGCATCTCGGTCACCGCTGCCCCACTGGGGTCTTCTCTGGGCCCCTCTCTGAGGTCCGGTCTCTCTGTCACAGAGGCTCTCTTGGCAAGGTCCTTGCTTTTCTCCCTTTCCTTGTCGCTGCCTTTCGGGGAGCTCTTCTTGGTGGTCAGCGCCCGGCTGAACGTTCTCTGGGCGATGCCCTTGAGTGCGATCTTGGGGCTGCTGGACGCTGGGCCCGCCGCGGAGAACGTGCGACCGGTGGCCTCCATCTCTTCGCTCTCTTCGACGCTGGACAGGATCTCCAGCCGCTCGCAGCTCGTGTCCCGCGACCCCGGGCCCTCACCCGCCTTGGAACCCCCTTTGCTGTTGAAAAGTTTTAGTTTCTCCAGCATGGACTTCTGATTGTTGGGCGCTGGCTTCAAGGCTTCGGGGCTGGGCCTGGGGTTCTCGGGCACGGGCTGCTTGACCGAGAGCATGGACGACGTCGCGCTGTGCTTCACGCTGATGGACTTGCTGCGCCAGGGCTTAGTGGCAGCACCGGGCTGGGGGATGGCCGAGGAGACACCGCAGTTAGCAAGGGTGGAGCTGCCGCCGCTCTCCAAGGAAACAGATGCATTTTCGCTCATTCCGGGGTGCGAGGAGGCCGGGCTTGCCAATGGCTCTGCAGAGATGGGAACAAGAAGGAAGCCTGAATTACACCCGGGGACCTGCGCTGAAGGCGAGGGAGGGTGAGCCATGGTGACTTCCCATCACTCCCCCCCGAGCACCTTAGAGCTCCACTACCTGCTGCGTGCGTCACGTGCGCTTCATGTGAAATCCCACCTTGACCCCTCCTCTCTCCATCACGCACAGTTCACATTCTGGTGTATGCTGTGCAAAGGCACGCTGAGCGCAACATCAAATGTGCACAAAGCACAATTAGGCACTTACATTTACGGAGAAACACACACACCTGCACCACCACCGTGGTGGTGTAGAAAAGCTGTAGGAAATATCTACTGTTTCAAGCCCACAGCACCATTTCAAGGTTATGGGAAACAACTGAGCATTATCCAACTTTAGGAAAACAATGAAGCACAGGCATTAAAACAGAACAGGATNTAGAAAAGCTGTAGGAAATATCTACTGTTTCAAGCCCACAGCACCATTTCAAGGTTATGGGAAACAACTGAGCATTATCCAACTTTAGGAAAACAATGAAGCACAGACATTAAAACAGAACAGGATAAAAAAAAAAAAAAGCAACAGGAACAGGGGGGCCCTGGTCGGTGTGGCTCAATTAGTTGGGCATCCTCCTGCGCATCAGAGTTGCCGGTTCGATCCCTGGTCAGAGCACATGCCCGGGTTGTGGACTTGATCCCTGGTAGGGGGCATGCAGGGGGCAGCCAATCGATGTTTCCCTCTCTTTCCCTCTCCCTTCCTCTCTCTAAAAATCAATAAATAAATTTGGGTGGGGGGCAGGAAAAGAAGGGAAACCAAGTATAATCTTCACAGAAGAATAATTACCCACAGAAGTTGCTACGTCCTATCAAATCGGATCAGTGTTTCCTACGTTGGCACTTTTAAAGAGTCACAAACACGACTCAGGCTAGACTTAAAATAAGAAAGACTTTTCAGCTTAGAAGTATAAACTGTGCACAGGGCTTCACTGTAGCAAGAAAACACGCAGGTTATCTGAAAGTCAAGGCTTCCCCTTGGCGCTCAGGGAGTATTTCCTCGGCCAGACTCTTCTCAGAAAAGCCTCAACGTATTTCCAAACTGGAACTGGAATTTATTCTGGGAAGGGCGGGTTCTCAACTAGAGTTATGCTCGCCACCGAGGCGGCCCATATCACAGACATGAAAACTGTGGAGCCCTTGTAGGGAGCACTCAGAGCCATGTGGCTGTCTCTGCTCCGCAAGGGTGGCTGCCAGAGCTAAGGCAGCAGGGAGGGCTGGTCGCGGCTGAGCCCATGCCCACCCGCACCCCTCATGTGCCCGCCTGGTGCAGGGAGCAGGCGGGATGCGGCGCTTCACCCCCACAGCGCACATACATCCCTGTTTGCAAAGTCACAATGACATGACTTACCTAGCAGCAGCCACTTTCTCCCGAAACAAGTCCCTGTGAAAAATTCTCCTACCAGAGAAGCTGTCCTTCCAATTGTCACAAGTGTTTTCAGTTAAACTGCTCATGTTTCTAATTAACTTTTGTCATCCGTAACTGCTCCGGTGCCCAGAAGCCTGGCGGGATTAACGGCTGCGTCTTCTCCTCTTTCTTTCTTTTCTCTCTCTCTCTTTTTTAATACCTATGTTCCGCCGCCTTCTAGCAACAGAGTAAACTGTATACAGAGCGGCTTTTTATGATTTAAACGTCAACGGCCGCCAGAGCCGAGTGAAGGCAGCCCCTGTGTGGGACACGCGCCGCGCGGGGGTGGAGAGCAAGGGCAGAGGAGCGGCCTCCCCTCGCTCTCAGCTGCGCAGGGAAGCCGCAGCTCCAGGGTGATCCAAAGCAGACCTCCCAATGTTTTAAAACACATACATCTTCCTGACTTACTGGGGATTTGGGTTTGGGTGGAGGTGGGGGTGGGGTGCTGCACAATCCTCCCTAACAAAACTCACTCACGGGGCATTGCTGGATCTTTTCCTGGGGAGGGTCGGAGACTGGCTCGGAAGCAGGCTCCTGGAACCCACCCGCACTGCCAGCCTTTCCGAGGCCTTCCACAGGCCTGACGCTGCTTCCGGAGGCCCTCCGGGGTGCCAGGGGGTATAGTGCTAGGCACGTGGTGAAGTGGGGATGACTGCCCAACATTATGAGTGAGGAAACTGAGGCTCAGGGAGGGCTAATGACAGGCCCTAAATCATGCAGCTAGAAATTGACATGACTGGGATTTGAGCCCAGGGCTCCTGACACAGTGCTCCTTTGGGAATGCGTCACGGTTGTCTCCTTTGATGAAGAATACATTTCAACAACAGCCACTTGAATGAGAGCTTTTCAGACATCGCCTCTTCTATTGCTTAGGTGTGTTTATGGCATCCGAGGTGAGGCCTGAGCCAGGCCAGTCACTGGGAAGGAGGCAGCCTGTGCTCCACAGGCAGGCTCTCTGGAGGAAATTCTAATGTTAGACCTTCTAATGCCCAGTTCCATTTCTGTTAGGACAACTGTCTTTCTCTTTACCTGGGTTCAAATCTGGGGCAGAGCATTCATTGATTCACTCATTCGATATATTCATTCATATCAATAGTCATTCATTCAATGAGCACCTAGTATATGCCAGACATTGTTGTAGGTACTTGGGATACATCTGACAAAGATCCCTGCCTTCCTGGAGCTTACATTCTAGAAGGGAGGAACAAATGACAATGTCATTAATGAATACATTTTATTATTTGTTAGAAAATAAGTGTTCAGGCTCAGCTGGCGTGACTCAGTGGTTGAGCATCGACCCATGAACCAGGAGATCACAGTTCCATTCCTGGTCAGGGCACATGCCTAGGTTGTGGGCTCAATTGCCAGTAGGGGCGTGCAGAAGGCAGTCGATCAATGGCTCGTCACTGATGTTTCTATCTCTCTCTCCCTCTCCTTTCCTCTCTGAAATCAATAAAAAAGTATATTAAAAAGAAAAAAATGTTCAGGAAAAGGGAACTTTGGGGGCAGGTTGCAATAGTCTTTACAGGAATGACAACCTGACATTCAGAGGCATATCCCGCTTTCCTAAAGAAGTTTTAAGTTTTAGGCATATTCCCCACTGACCATATGTGCATGAATCACTGGGACTTCTCACTCCCACATATTCCTTGAAACTCTTAGAAAGCTTGTCTGAAATGGTTTTAATGAGAAATGCCCCTACCCAGTATCTCTGTGTCTTTTCAACATTAACATACAACAACTGGAAATTAACAACTAACTAGCTAAGGACTGACCCAGAGTTAAACAGACGCTTGATGCATCTAAGTGAAAGGGACAGGCTAACTGAAGATGTTTGTCTCCCTCAGGAAAGCTGCAAGGTTGGGGGGAAGGGCTCATACAATGTAGGCAGAACAGACACACAGTCCTCCTCAGGCCCTGCCGAGACAGCTCCCAGAAACTCCTACTTGCCTCTCAAACCCCAGCTCAATGCCTTCACCTCCGTCACACTGCCTGAGACCCTCCAGCTGAATGAACCGTCTGTTGCGTCACATGGAACTGTTCCCTACTCTGGGTTTTTCTAGGATATTGTCCATACCTCCCCATATAAGGATTTTGGAAGGCAATCTACTTACATCAGGCACTGGAAATACAGAGTTGCATAAAATACAGCTGCTGCCCTCTATGAACTCACTGTCCAAAGGGGCAACATATCTCAAAACAGCGCGGAAAACACGTAAGGGCTGTAAGGGTTGTGCAAGACCCAAGAGATCCACTCATTCTTTCTAGAGCGTTTGGGAAACCTTCACAGAGGAGGTGACTCGAGTTTGTCACGCTATGGTTGATATGTAAGTCCACTGGTCTGTGGGTTCCTCCAGGATAGCGCCTTGCTGATTCATCTTTGTGTCCCAAAGCCTGCCAGAGCTAGGAAGTGGTCATATAGTTAACCCTTGAACAATGCGGGGATTAGGGGTGCCAACCCCCACACAGTTGAAAATCATGTATAGCTTTGACTCCCCAAAATCTTAACTACTAGTAGTTTACCGTTGACTGGAAGCCTTATCAATAACAAAGTCAATTAAAACATGTTTTATAGTTATATGTATTATATACTGTGCTCTCACAATAAAATAAGCTAGAGAAAAGAAAATGTTATTAAGAAAATAATAAGGAAGAGAAAATACATTTATGGTCTTTATTGGGGGGGAAATCTACATATTGGTGGACCACATAGTTCAAACCTGTACTGTTGAAGGATTAACTACAAATGGTTTCTGAATTGCTGGTTGGTAGTTTTGACATTTGCAAGTCACAATTAAGGCAATGGAGACACAAGATTTGTGATTATTCATTAGGGTTTTGTTAAAACTTTTCAGCCTAAACTCAAGGAAACAAAACTCAGGATCCGGACTCAGAGCTTCAGAGCTTCCACTTGGCCATTAGCCTGGGCTCCCCTGGTTATGAAATCATGTGGGCAGTTCAAGGACACTCATTGCAGCTATAAAGGGTAGCACCTGGAGATGACCATGAACTTGGGTTTCTAGAACAGAAGGTCCCGAAGCAGGACTACAAGGCTCCAGGGTACCTGAACATCAGATCAGCAATACTCTGCACTTATGTCGTGGCCAGAAACCCCCTTAACAGTGAAGGGGGCTTCCAGTCACAAGTGGTCTTGTCCAGGTTAACCTGACACAGCTCTGTCATTCTTAAGACTATCATACCAGAGGCCTCAGGTCCTGGCTGAAGGAGCTGTTTGAGGCCCGCTCCTCTTTCTTTGGAAAGCAGTCATTTTTAATACCAGGGTTCTGAGATTCATAGCGTGGGAGTTTCCTTACCAAGCCTCAAACTTCGTCACCAACAAATGGTGTGACCCTAGATGTGCCATTTTGCCCCTCAGCGCCTCACTTGTAATAGGATAAGCTGTTCCTCTAGAGTCTTTTCAGCTCTATTTCTATCCAAATCTCAGTGAGTCTCCACGAGGCCCTCTGAGGCTGGGCCACAGGCAATCCTGTCTGACTGGGCCCATGAATGCAGCCCTCATTCACTAAGTTCTACCAT